GGGGCAGAAGCAGGCTCAGGTCAGCTCTGCTGTTGCCAGCCCTGTGCCCTCGGCCAGTGGCCCGACCTCCCAGGAGCTTAGCTTCTTAATCCGTAAAGTCGGGGGAGCATCACTGTCCCCGAGGTGGCAGGCACAGGACATGAACAGCCTCAGGCCCCGCACGCAGACCTCCTCTCGCACCTCCCCCGTGTGCCTGCCCACCCCGCCACCCCTTTATTTTCCTTTTCATTGACTTTCTTGGGGTGACACTGGTCCTCCACTCTCTTCTTCTCAATCCCAGGAAGACAACCCCTAGTCCTTCCTCGGAGATTTCCGGTCGTCAGGGAGGGTCCGGCCTCACACCGTCATCACCGGTGGGCGCCCCCTGCCCGCGGCAGCTCCTCTCCCAACGCGAACTCTGTCCTTCTCTTGGTGTGGTGACGGCAGTGAAAGAACCCAGACACGGAGGGAGTGGCCCTGGTCCAGCCTGACCTCCCTGCGGTCTTGTCGTCTTCCCGGCATCCCAGGGGCTGGCTGCAGGGCCCCGGCTCAGGGCTGGAGGCCCGAGGACCAAGGCCATCCTGCCGGTGTGTGCCCGTGGCTTTCGTCTCGGCGTGTGCTGTCCTAGTATGTGCTCAGGAGCGGGCGGCCACCCCCGTGTTCCTGCCACACACGCCCCTCCCGGCCATCCTGCCCTCTCGGTGTGCTCCTCACCCCGTGGACAGGATGAGATCAATGGCACGGCCGGGCCCGTCCCTCCCCAGCGTGGGCACAGGAGACGAACCAGGGAGAGGGAGGAGGGGTGTGTTATTTCACAACGAGATGGTGGTCTTGAGCCTGGTTCTCATGTGTGTCTCTTTTCTCAAGAAGCTTGATTTCATGAATGCTGGGCCTGTGGCCCAAATCAGCTTTCTTTGCCTCGTTCCACCGGGTGCCCTCTGCCCTCCGGCCACGCCTCGACCAGCGCTTGCTAGGCTGAGGGGAGGGACAGCCCAGTCCCCTGCTGACTCAGGGCCCGTGTAAGTGTGTCATCCTCTTAGCGTCCAGGGCCTTCGGTGTCTCCCTGGGCCTGCTGTGCAGGGGACTGCGGGGGAGGGGCAGCAGCTGGACTCAGAGCGCCCGGATCGGTCAGCCGGGTGGCGTAGCCACTGAGGCTGCGGAGTGACCATCTCTGGGACGGGCGTCCTTACGATGGGCGTGGAGAGAAACCTACAATGTGCAAAACACTGTCCGGGCTCTTCCACGGTTTTAGTCTTGGGAGCATCTCCGTGACCAGATGGGCTCGTTATTGACCCCACTTTACAGCCGAGGGAAGGAATTCTCAGAAAAGTCTGGCAACTTGGCCAAGGGCACATGGTGGATATATCATTAAGATTCGCATCACTCAACAAGGAAGGTTTGCTATTTTTGCTGACCTAGAAGGCCTAGGACAGCAGGTGTGACTGTCACCCAGTCCCAGACTCCTTTCTGCTTCCTGCTCTGTCATCCCAAGCATGTCGTTTTTGTCCTCATGTTCATGAGATGGCTGCTGAATCCCCGAACGTCTCATCCACATTCCAGGTAGTAAGCAGGTGGAAGACTGAGAGGAAAAAATCCAAAGGCCAAGTTTGACCCTTTAAAATAGGTCTTCTCAAAGTGCCAGCAAGTTCTGCTCACGTCTCATTGGCCGGAACTGGGTCTCTGACTGCCCTGGGCTACAGGAGAGATGGGGAAGGGGAGATTTATCAGGCACGTGGCTGGGCGTCCTGTCGTAAACAAGGGAATAATGATCAACTTCACCTGCCGTAGTTCATAAAGCTGCCAAGCCAGGATGGGCAGCCCAAAGAGGCGGCAGGTGCTGTTCCCACTGCCAGCCAGCCTGCAGGCGGTGTAGACAGCAGGGTGGTACTATTCCCCAGCCTGCAGGCGGTGTAGACAGCAGGGTGGTGCTATTCCCCAGCCTGCAGGCGGTGTAGACAGCAGGGTGGTACTATTCCCCAGCCTGCAGGCGGTGTAGACAGCAGGGTGGTGCCCTCCCCAGCCTGCAGGCGGTGTAGACAGCAGGGTGGTACTATTCCCCAGCCTGCAGGCGGTTGTAGACAGCAGGGTGGTGCTATTCCCCAGCCTGCAGGCGGTGTAGACAGCAGGGTGGTACTATTCCCCAGCCTGCAGGCGGTGTAGACAGCAGGGTGGTGCCCTCCCCAGCCTGCAGGCGGTGTAGACAGCAGGGTGGTGCCGCCCCCCAGGCTGCAGGCGGTGTAGACAGCAGGGTGGTGCCCTTTCCAGCCTGCAGGCGGTGTAGACAGCAGGGTGGTGCCCTCCCCAGCCTGCAGGCGGTGTAGACAGCAGGGTGGTGCCCTCCCCAGCCTGCAGGCGGTGTAGACAGCAGGGGTGGTGCCGCCCCCCAGGCTGCAGGCGGTGTAGACAGCAGGGTGGTGCCCTTTCCAGCCTGCAGGCGGTGTAGACAGCAGGGTGGTGCCCTCCCCAGCCTGCAGGCGGTGTAGACAGCAGGGTGGTTGCCCTCCCCAGCCTGCAGGCGGTTGTAGACAGCAGGGGTGGTGCCGCCCCCCAGGCTGCAGGCGGTGTAGACAGCAGGGGTGGTGCCGCCCCCCAGGCTGCAGGCGGTGTAGACAGCAGGGGTGGTGCCGCCCCCCAGGCTGCAGGCGGTGTAGACAGCAGGGGTGGTGCCCTGGTGCCGCCCCCCAGCCTGCAGGCGGTGTAGACAGCAGGGGTGGTGCCCTCCCCAGCCTGCAGGCGGTGTAGACAGCAGGGGTGGTGCTATTCCCCGGCCTGCAGGCGGTGTAGACAGCAGGGGTGGTGCTATTCCCCAGCCTGCAGGCGGTGTAGACAGCAGGGGTGGTGCTATTCCCCAGCCTGCAGGCGGTGTAGACAGCAGGGGTGGTGCTATTCCCCAGCCTGCAGGCGGTGTAGACAGCAGGGTGGTGCCCTCCCCAGCCTGCAGGCGGTGTAGACAGCAGGGGTGGTGCCGCCCCCCAGGCTGCAGGCGGTGTAGACAGCAGGGGTGGTGCCGCCCCCCAGGCTGCAGGCGGTGTAGACAGCAGGGGTGGTGCCCTCCCCAGCCTGCAGGCGGTGTAGACAGCAGGGGTGGTGCTATTCCCCGGCCTGCAGGCGGTGTAGACAGCAGGGGTGGTGCTATTCCCCAGCCTGCAGGCGGTGTAGACAGCAGGGGTGCTGCCCTCCCCAGACTGTAGGCGGTGTAGACTGTGCAGGCTTCTGTCCTCTGGCCAGCCTCTCCCTCTGGGAACTGGCAGTCCTGGTGGGGACGCGGCTATAAAACAGACACTTGATCTCGTAAAGACGCTACCAGACAGAGAACAAGGGACCAGGTGTCATGTGTCTGACACACCTGTGATACATGCCCGCGGTGTGGGCCAGACACACATTTGGGGAGGCATGGGTGTTAGTCTCTATTCTGTGTGCCCGTGTACCCCGGGACGTGCCCCGAGGATGGCTGGTTCATGGAGACCCCGGGCAGATCAAAGGCTGTCTACAGTCACACTGATGGGGGACCTTACTGCACCCCTCTTTCGAGAGTCACAGTGCACGTTACATAGGAAAGGTTTCTTCTTCATGTTACACCTGGCACAGAGGGTAAACAGAGGTCAGAGAGCACAGGCTTTGGACTTGGACAGCCTCGGGTGCAGATCCTACTGCACCGTTCCAGCTGTGTGACCTTGGGGGCGTTCCTTACCCTCTCTTGACCTCGGTCTCCTGCGGACAGTGATTACCCAAGGTCCTGAGCACCTGCTGTGAGCCAGGGCCTGAGGCTGTAACCGTAAACAGGCAGAGGCAGCCTTGCCTTGGACCGATTTAGCTTTGGCTCCACAGCTGTATAATTTTAAGGCCCCCAAAGGGATGAGTCAACATCTGTTACTCCTCCCCACCCTGGAGTGGGGTCGGCCAGGACATCCTTGGTGCCACTAGGGTGGTGCCCAGAGCACCATGTACCGAGAAGCTCCCTTCCACCAGACCCAGACCTACCTCCTCCGCTCAGGAACCTTGGGGTGACCCAGGGGTTCGGAGGGACTGGGGAAGGTGGAGCTTGGATCTGAATCCTGATGTCCCAGGCTGGTGAGGACACTGCCTGGCCTGGCCTATTTTTAGAGGGTACCCTGTGGGTCAGCTGGGGAGACAATAGAGAATGTGGCCCCCACAAGGGACCATTGTTCCTGCAGCAGCTCAGGGCCAGGCTGGGCCCAGCAGATGATCTGGGCCCCACTGGGGCGGGGCCATTCCTCCAGGGCCGGGGATTTTCCATCACTAACCAGGAGCGAAGTGTTGGGCACTGAGAGGAGCATCGGAGAGATGGATGGGCGCTGTGTTCTGGGGACTCATTTTGTCAGGGTGATAAGGCAGGTGGCTCAGGAGGACCCCTGTGTTGGGGGTGGGCTCAGGCATTAACAGGGAGCTGGGGTTCCCCACATACTGTGCCTGCTTATACCCCTCCGCACCATCCCTTGGTAAACATGCTCACGGCCCCTCCTGCACCATGAGGCTCCGTTCTGTCCCATTGCACACAGCACAGTGGCAGCCCGGGAGGTGCGCCCCTGGCTACCAGATCCGGACTTGCTTCGGGGTCTTCATAGTCGGTCTAGGAGGCCCCGGGTCACTGCCTGGGATGCGGAAGGGGGTGGGTTACAACGGAGGTGCTGCCCTTTCCTGCTCTGCAAGTGGAGCCTGAGAACGGGGCTCCGTTCTTCTGCACCCCTCCCCCCCCGCCTGATCCAAGTTCCTCAGGTGGACAACCATGGGTTTCAAAGGATGGGAGCCGACCTGGTCCTCACCCAGCCCCGCAGCCCCTCGCGGGTTAAATCCTCTCTCCATCGGCATCGGCTCCCCTGCCCTCCCTGGCTGTCCACAGGGTTCTCCGGGCAGAGGTTTGCCTCCAGAGCCCAGTGCGAAGGTCCCGGAGCGTCCTCAGGACACAGCTGAGACGCCCCGGGTGTCTGCAGTCAGTGTTTCAGCCACACTGACGCTGACGTTCCATATGACAGTCCCCTCTGTCTGCTGTCTCTCCTCAGGAGCAGGACATTGAGACTTTGCATGGCTCCATTCACGTCACCCTGTGCGGGACCCCCAAGGGCAGCCGGCCCGCCATCCTCACCTACCATGACATCGGCATGAACCGTAAGTTCCGGGGACTCGTTTTCTAGTGAGCTCGTTCCCGCCGCGGTGGAGGGGAGGGGACAGCGAGGCGGGGCTGGTGGCAGGGAGCCCGGCTGCTTCTCTCTGGCTGGGACTTCCTTGAGTGTTCTGGGAAGAATTCTTGCCCCAGACTTGAAGAGTCTGGGATTCACAGCATGGGGCACGGAGTTGTCTGTGTGCCCAGAGCTGCCGGGAACTCAGGGAGCCCCCCACCATCTGTCTGTGTGACAGTGACTTCTTTTAATGAGCGAATACAATGGTTGTCAGTGTTTCCATCACAATCAACGTTAGCACATTATTACTCTGAAAAAATAAATCCTGTTCTCTTGTCTGTCACCCCCAATTTCCTCTACCCCCTAACCCTGGCGACCACTAGTCTCCTTTGTGTCTCTAAGGATCTGTCCACTTGGGACATTTTATAGAAATGGGATCACACGCTATGTGGTCTTTCGTGACTGGCTTCTATTACGATGTTTTCAAGGTTCGTTCTCTTTTGCCGAGCCATCGTCCGTCGTATGGACGTACCACATTCTGTTCACCCATTCCTTAGCTAGCGGGCACTGGGATGGCTTCACTTCTTGGCTGTTCTGAATGCTGCTGCGAGTGTGTAGACCGAATTCCTAAGATGACCATGGAGTGTGACCGATGTGGGTTCCATTGTTCACAGATGGGACTAAGCTGCTTTGTGTTAAAATGACGCAGAGTGGAGGTGGATCTTCCCGTGATGATTCAGGAGGCACCAATAGGCCTTCTTGGGGGTCCAGGAAGCTCTGTGAACTTGAACATTGCAAGCCGGATGCCTGCTTGACTTTTGATTGACAGACTGCCTGATTTACACCTTTTTTTTTATCAATGCCCTTGAGGCCGGACATGATGTCAGTCCCCGAAAGCCATTTTCTTCACTCTCTGGTCTCTCACCTCACTTCTTCCCCTGTGTGCCCCGTGTCCCTGAGGTAGCAGATGCCAGGCTAGGGTCTCTGGTAGCGATCACCTTAGTTCGCGGGGCCCTGGGGAGCAGATGGAGCTGATGGGGTGGCAATGCTCCCCAGTTTTACAGGGGCTCACTGTCAGTTACAGTAAGCTAACTGCTGTAACGAAAGACCCGGGACCTCTGTGGCTTCCCACACTGTATGTTATTTCTCAACACCCATATGGTGACGCAGGGACCCAGGCCCCTTCCGGCGGTGGCTCGGCCACCCCCTGGAGCCTCAGCGGCTTCTGCGGGCTCCTCTGCATCTGGCAGGTAGGTGGCAGAGGAGACAGAAGCCTAGAGGATGGAGCGGCAGGTGTTATGAGGAAGTGGCACCCATCACATGCTATTGGCCAGAACCTGATCACATGACTGTCTCTAATGACAAGGGTGTTATGAGGAAGTGGCACGCATCGCATGCTATTGGCCAGAACCTGATCACATGACTGTCTCTAATGACAAGGGAGCCTGGGAAATGTAGTCCAGCTGTGTGCCCAGGATGAAAGAAGCTGGTCTGGTGACCAGCTGGCCCTCCGTGCTTCAGGCAAAGTTTGAGATCATCCAGCAGCCAGTACAATAGAGTTTATGGGCCATCTCCACCTCCACACCCACTCCCTTCCCAAGGCTCATTCTCGCCTGTTACCACCAGAGGAGAGTGGGACCGGGATTAAAGACAAGCGTTCTTTCTTGTGAGTCCATTTTATTCTGCTGAACAGGAGTGAAGTAAACAAAATGAACATGCGTTGCGCAGAGCAAGCCAGTTCATTGTGTCCCCACTTCTTCCCCTTCCCTCTCCCCTGCCTGGTCTCCAGACAAAACCTGCTACAACCCCCTCTTCAACTGTGAGGACATGCAGGAGATCACCCAGCACTTCGCGGTCTGCCACGTGGATGCCCCTGGCCAGCAGGACGGTGCCGCGTCCTTCCCCCTGGGGTAGGCGGGGAGGCTTGCCGGGTGGAAGAGGGCGGTGGGGAAACCATTCGACTGGCTTCTAATGTTTTTAATTGTGGCAAATATACTCTTCTGTGAAGCCAAGTCTCTGATATAACCCCTCAGCCTCAATGACGTTGATAATCTTTACGTGGCGGGAGATCATAGCAACCTCATCGAGCTGTCGCGAGGATTGAATGGGCTTATGATGCTCATCGAGTACTTGGGGTGGGACCTGGAACACAGGAAGCAATTGGTAGACGATTGTTTAACTACGAGAAAGGCGGGGAATTAGGGATGGAGACATCCTTGCTTAACATAGCAGCTGAGCGTGCCCAGGGGGAGCACCTCCAATGAGGGGCCAGGGCAGACGCTGTGGGGAGTCCGGGCAGGTTCCCGCAGGGTTCCTCTCCTCGGGCCTTTGTTCATTTCCACCGGGGTGTAGGCTCGCGCTGACTCCTCTGTGTGCTTCTCCCAAGGTACATGTACCCCTCCATGGACCAGCTGGCCGAGATGCTGCCCGGAGTCCTTCACCAGTTTGGGTGAGTGTGAGGGACCCGCTCCCCACCAGCCTTCAGGGGGTGGGCTCTAGCTCCTTCCTTTCCTGGAGCTGCCATCTGGCTAGACCACTCCAATGGAGGGTGGAGTTTATGTATTTATTTATTTAGTATTATTATTTTTAAATATGTTTTTATTGATTTTTTTAGAGAGAGAGCAAGGGAGAGAGAGAAACATCGATGTGAAACAGAAACAGGGACTAGCTGCCTCCTGCGCGCCCCCTACTGGGGATGGAGCCCACAGCCTGGGCATGTGCCCTGACCGGGAATCGAACTGGGACCTCTCAGTCCACAGAACGACGCTCAGTCCACTGAGCCACCCCGGCCGGGCGAGGTTGGAGTTTAAAGCTCAGGGAAGGACCTGGCTGGTTTGCTCAGTGGTTAGAGCATCGGCCCGCGGACAAGAGTCCCAGGTTCGGTTCCCGCCAAGGGCATGTACCTCGGTTGCCGTTTGTCCCCGGCCCTGGTTGGGGTCATGTGGGTGGCAGCCCGTCGATGTGTCTCTCACATCATGTTTCTCTCTCTCTTTTCCTCCCTCTCTCCCTCCCGCTCTATCTGAAGATAAATGCAAAAATGTCCCCGGGTGAGGATAACAAAACTAAATTAATTTTTAAGAAAAAGCTCAGGGAAGAAACCACTCAGCTGACGTGGACTCACTGTTTTCCACACTCTGCTCCGTCTGCCTCTCTGCGTGGGGCTTTTCTCCCGGTTGGTGGCCTCACCTGATGACAGCCACCTGCATCCTTTCCCACCTTCTCTCCTTTCATGGCTGTTTCTTTCCGATGGAACGTTCCGGAACGGGATCGCCTGCGCCCTCAGCTCCGCCCTCTCCAGCCCCTTCTTCCTCCAGTGCTCATTTCCTTCTTGCTTGAGACGTTTGTGGAAGCGTGCCTCAGACTTCTCGCCTCGTTGATGTTCATGCCCGGTTTCAGAATGCAGGGTACAGCTCCTGAGCGGGAAGAGCGGCGATAGGCCCTCCCGTCCACGTCAGACGGTGTGAGAGCCCGGGCTGCGGGCAGGGAGCCGTGCGGAGAGCCCGAGTCTCCCCAAGGTCACGGCGCCCCGGGAATCCGTGCAGCACGGTGCGCCTCAGGCCCGAGGGCACAGCGTGTCCCCACTCTGTCTCGCGACCAGGACAGACACTGGGCGAGACGAGGTTCCTTAGGGACAAGGAGTGGGGTGGTCGCGAGGGTGGTCAGAGCTCCTAGCACTCACTTCTTCTGTGACGTGAGTTTTTTTCTGCTTTCAGGCTGAAAAGCGTCATCGGCATGGGAACCGGGGCCGGCGCCTACATCCTCACTCGATTTGCTGTGAGTTCTTGGGCATTAGAATAATTGTTTCAGCCCGGCCAGTGTGGCTCACTGGCTGAGTGTCAACCCGTGCACCAGGAGTTGCTGGTTCGATTCCCGGTCGAGGCACACGCCCAGGTTGTGGGCCCGATCCCCAGTGGGGCATGCGGGAGGGGGCCAATCAATGTTCTCGCTCATCGATGTTTCTATCTATCTCTCCCTCTCCCTTCCTCTCTCTTTAAAATCAATAAAGAAAAAAAAATAAGTTTCAAATAAAATTAATTTAAGGTGAAGGAAGAAAATTAGAAAAGCATCAAAAAAACCCAAAAGGGAGAAAGAAGTGACCCGCATTCCATTTTCCAAGAAGCACAGCTCACACTGCGGTGTGTGGTCCAGACGTGTGTGTGTGTGTGTGTGTGTGTGTGTGTGTGTGTGTGACTTACGTGCTGGCAGCTTTTCTCGCTCTTGCACGGAAATGCCATCCCAGCCCACCCTCTCCTCGCCGGCTTTGGCACTCAGCATGCACTGTAGGCAGGGCCCAGGTCGCCGAGTAGTCTACTCTGCTACTTGGTTGCGGTAGCGTTGGAGCCAGGGGACTCTCGGCTCCGGACTAACTCTAAACTAGAACCAGGGATACCTGAGTGAACATGACAGCTGTCACTTACCTCACTGCAGGCCCAAGTCGGGGCCGCTGCGTCCTCTGTGTCCTTACAGGAATGCAGCGACGCCCGTTTCCATTCAGCCGAATGCACCCTCACTGCCCGGTACTGGCGGGCTGTGCTAGAGGTTAGAAATGCAGACATGAACACCGGGTGGGCGGGCGACCTGGGCACTGAGCAGATGAAATGAGGTCTACATGGTGTCATCTATGTGTGTGATACATGTATTCTCCTAGAAGTCATAGAATTCTTCCTGATTACGAACGAGCGTTGATGTGCCCGATGAGGAGGTGGATGGTACGAAATACCCACTTTGCAGCTAGGACAGCTGAGGGGCAGCGAGGGGCAGTGACTGGTCCGAGGCTGGTCCACGAGGACAGAGGCTGCTCCCTCTGTCCATGCCCTCGGGGACCCGACCCAGTGTGCCCTGTGCTGAAGCCTCCGCTTGGCATGGAGAGGGGGCTGCAGGTTCTTGAGAGTCCTTCCCTGGTCCTTTCCTCTGCCTTTGGTTTGACTTTTTGTTGTTAATCCTCATCGGAGGATATTTCCCCATTGATTTTTAGACAGAGTGGAAGGGAGGGAGGGAGAAACATCGATGTGAGAGAGACACATCGATTGGTTGCCTTCTGCATGACCCCGACTGGGGCCGGGAGTCCAACCTGCAACTGAAGTACGTGCCTCGACTGGAAATCGAACCTGTGACCCTTTGGTCTGCAGGCCAATGCTCTAACCACTGAGCGACCCAGCCAGGGCTGGTTTGACTTCTAAAGTTTACAGTATCTCAGATTTCCAGGCTGTGTCTCTCACCCGGTGTCTTGAATTGCAGCTGAACAACCCTGAGATGGTGGAGGGCCTGGTCCTCATCAATGTGAACCCTTGTGCGGAAGGCTGGATGGACTGGGCGGCCTCCAAGGTGAGCCGGGGCCTGGGCGGGCAGGGTCTGGAAATGCAGTGGGCAGGTGCCCGCCCGGAGGAGCAGTGGGCATACGAGACCCTCCTGTCGGCACCTCACCACCTCTTGACCCCATCCCCAGCCAAGAAGGCAGGTGTCCTCTGCTTTGCTTGGATAGTAGAGGTGGCTCCGATGTGCGCATTCAGAGAGCAGCAGGACCAGGAGGCCGCGGGCTGGGCCAGCAGCGTCAGGGCCCCTGCCAGCTTTGACAAGCGTAGGAGTAATCTCTGGGGACCTAACCTGCTAGGCTTTTCTCAAGATGCTGAGAATAAAAAGATGAGCGAGACTAATGCCTCCAATCCCAGGAACCCACCTTATTGCAGGAAAAGAAACGTGTTTGGTACCGACTCTATGCCACTGTTTTCCGACAATAATAATTAGCTGACGTGTGTTGCGTGGTTGCCGGGTGCTGTGTCTACTCTCCGTTGCTATGAGTGCCTGACATTATTTAATCCTCACAGGGCCTCCAGGAGGGGGGTTGTCATGCCCGTTACAGAGGGGGAAACTGAGGCTGTCAGGGGTGGGGAGACTGTCCAGGCTCTCGCAAAGCTGGGCAGAGAGAGAACTGGGGCTGAATGCAGGGCACCTGGCCCCACGGTTTTCGGGCCTCCCGTCTGTGCTGTGCCCAGGGGCTCTCGTGCAGCAGGTGTCAAAGGCCCACCCTGACCCGAGTGCCGCAGGGCAGGGCACAGAGGGCCAGGACACGTCCCTTCCTGGCGCACAAGGGGCCCACATTGTCTCGGAAAAGTCTGCTCTGGCTGGGTGGCCTAGGGTTCCTTGTTTATTTAAAAATTATTATTGTTCTTTTTCATAAAAACCCCTGTACTTGCCAACGCGGTGGGGGAACTGTTCCAGTCGAAACAGGACGGAGCTTGTTAACCCGGGTGATGCTGGCTTCTCATTTTGAAAGTGTGTTTTTACCAAGGTTGGGGTGGCTGCTGGGGACAGAAGGATTGAGGGGGCCGTGCCCCTGCCCCCTCTCCCCACCCGTCCTGGCCAGCCAGTCCGATATTGTATTTCTTCCTGGAACATTCTGCCAGAAGGCAGAGCCCTTCCCTCTGGCCTGCAGGACATTCGGGAGCGGAACACACTCCCTGTTTTTCATTTTATTTTCCAGCAAAGGAAGTGACATTCCACTCAGCCAGTTGGCTCCTCGGGAGCTGTTCTGAGCCAGATGTGGAGAGCTGGGGACATGAGCCGTTGGCAGTGGGGGCCTGAGGAATGTCTGGGGCGGGGGTTCATATCTGCACCATATCCTTCCTTTGCAACCCAGCCCTGGAGAAGAAAGACCTACATCAAGGGGCTCCTGTATCCCAGTTACTGGGTCACATCCTGTGACGTGTGTAGTTGCTCCCATAATCCTCGTTGCGACCTGGCACTTTGAAGTTCCTGCCATCCTCAGCTACAGACGGGCAGTCTGAGGTCCAGAGGCTTTGCAGCCTGCCCTGGGCTCCACACCTGGGAACCCCAGGAGTCAGCACACGTTTATGGAGCTCCCGCTGTATCCCTAGCATTTATGGAGCTCCCACTGTATCCCTAGCATTTATGGAGCTCCCACTGTATCCCTAGCATTTATGGAGCTCCCACTGTATCCCTAGCATTTATGGAGCTCCCACTGTATCCCTAGCATTTATGGAGCTCCCACTGTGTGCCTAGCATTTATGGAGCTCCCGCTGTATCCCTAGCATTTATGGAGCTCCTGCTGTATCCCTAGCATTTATGGAGCTCCCGCTGTATCCCTAGCATTTATGGAGCTCCCACTGTATCCCTAGTATTTATGGAGCTCCCACTGTGTGCCTAGCATTTATGGAGCTCCCGCTGTATCCCTAGCATTTATGGAGCTCCTGCTGTATCCCTAGCATTTATGGAGCTCCCGCTGTATCCCTAGCATTTATGGAGCTCCCACTGTATCCCTAGTATTTATGGAGCTCCCACTGTGTGCCTAGCATTTATGGAGCTCCCGCTGTATCCCTAGCATTTATGGAGCTCCCACTGTATCCCTAGCATTTATGGAGCTCCCGCTGTGTGCCTACCATTTATGGAGCTCCCACTGTATCCCTAGCATTTATGGAGCTCCCGCTGTGTGCCTACCATTTATGGAGCTCCCACTGTGTGCCTAGTATTTATGGAGCTCCTGCTGTATCCTTAGTATTTGTGGAGCTCCCGCTGTATCTCTAGCACTTATGGAGCTCCTGCTGTGTGCCTAGCATTTATGGAGCTCCTGCTGTATCCTTAGTATTTGTGGAGCTCCCACTGTGTCCCTAGCATTTATGGAGCTCCTGCTGTATCCCTAGCATTTATGGAGCTCCCACTGTATCCCTAGCATTTATGGAGCTCCCGCTGTATCCCTAGCATTTATGGAGCTCCTGCTGTATCCCTAGCATTTATGGAGTTCCTGCTGTATCCCTAGCACATATGGAGCTCCTGCTGTATCCCTAGCATTTATGGAGCTCCCACTGTATCCCTAGCATTTATGGAGCTCCCGCTGTATCCTTAGTATTTGTGGAGCTCCCACTGTGTACCTACCATTTATGGAGCTCCCACTCTATCCCTAGCACATATGGAGCTCCCGCTGTATCCCTAGCACATATGGAGCTCCTGCTGTATCCCTAGCATTTATGGAGCTCCTGCTGTATCCCTAGCACATATGGAGCTCCCACTGTATCCCTAGCATTTATGGAGCTCCCACTGTATCCCTAGCATTTATGGAGCTCCCGCTGTATCCTTAGTATTTGTGGAGCTCCCGCTGTATCCCTAGCATTTATGGAGCTCCTGCTGTGTGCCTAGCATTTATGGAGCTCCTGCTATGCGCCTAGCATTTATGGAGCTCCCGCTGTATCCCTAGCATTCATGGAGCTCCCGCTGTGTGCCTAGCATTTATGGAGCTCCCGCTGTATCCCTAGCATTCATGGAGCTCCCGCTGTGTGCCTACCATTTATGGAGCTCCCGCTGTATCCCTAGCATTTATGGAGCTCCCGCTGTATCCCTAGCATTCATGGAGCTCCCGCTGTGTGCCTAGCATTTATGGAGCTCCCGCTGTATCCCTAGCATTTATGGAGCTCCCACTGTATCCCTAGCATTTATGGAGCTCCCACTATATCCCTAGCATTTATGGAGCTCCCACTGTATCCCTAGCATTTATGGAGCTCCTGCTGTATCCCTAGCATTTATGGAGCCCCCGCTGTATCCCTAGCATTTATGGAGCTCCCGCTGTATCCCTAGCATTTATGGAGCTCCCGCTGTATCCCTAGCACATATGGAGCCCCCGCTGTATCCCTAGCATTCATGGAGCTCCTCTATGCACCTAGCGTTGCTGCTGCAGAGAGGTAAAAAGGAGAAGGTCATTCGTTTCCCGAGTAACCGCGGTGTACTCAGAGAGAGGAACGTGGCTTAGGGGACAATCTAGAGGCTGGCACTGGAGGGGAGTCCGAGCTAAGAGACCGTGAGGGGCAGGATCGGGGATCCCTGTGTGTGTTTGGAAGTGGAAGAGGTCCTTCTCGCCATGGAGTGAGGAACGCTAACGGCCAGTGTGTCTGTGTGGCACACACGTGTGCACATCTGTGCCCAGGGCTATGAGACTTAGCAGTGGTGGAGACCCAGGCCCTGCCTTCCGGGGCCACAGGTTTGGTAGCTGACCAGAGGCAGGGGACCGAGTCCCTGTTGAGGGGGCATCCTCAGGCCCGAGTGCTAGGAACCCCAAGGGCCGTGGGGTGGGGCTGACCTCTCACTGCTGCAAACGCCTTCTTCCCAATCCCACCTGTGTCGTCGCAGATCTCCGGATGGACCCAAGCCCTTCCAGACATGGTGGTGTCCCATCTCTTCGGGAAGGTGAGTCCCGTGGCCTGGCCTTGGGTCATTCCGCTGAGTGACCGTGCCTGCCCAGATGTAGGCTCAGGGGTGGACACCTGCGGCGGGCGGGCACCGTGTGCTGGTGCCACACGTAAGGTGACATTATTCACGGTCACCAAGCCACTCGGTCTCCCTGCTGCTCACACACGTCTTTTTAACCGTTTGGTGGAAGTACAAGGAACAGCACCTAGTGAAACTGTAAAAGCTGACAAGTCTGGACGGGGCCTGAAATGCCCCTCGGTTACCCAGCGCAAGGCAACTGGCTCCGTTTCTGCTGGGCCGCCCACTCGCCACTGCCCAGCCCCTAGCCAGGAAGTGTGGCCGTGTGACATGTGACCATGTGACGTGTGACCGGGGGTTGGTGAAGTGTAGCCCCTGCCACCTTGGGTCAGTGTCCTATAGCTGCAGGGACTGAATGGCCGAAAACACAGAAATGTACCCCTCACAGGTCGAGAGGCCGTGGCTCTTACGTCGAGGGCTCTGGGCCAGGGTCCCTGCAGCGGCTCTAGGGAGGGTTCTCCTTGCTCTGGCACCTGGGCTGTGCCCGGACTCCAGTCCCTGCCCCCGTCTCTGTGGGGGGCCTTCCCGTGTCTGTTTCAAATCTCCTTGCACCTTTTTTCTAAGGACACGTGTCATTGGATTGATGACCCCCCGGGGATCATCCAGGTGATGTCATCTCGGGACCTTTCACCTAATTACCTCCACAAAGACCTTTTTTCCAAAGAAGTTCATGCCGGGTCCAGGGATTTGATGTGGACGTGGCGGGGGTGCCACTCAGCCCACTGCCGCCCCGTTTCCTCGGCGGCTCCCTTTCCCGGTCTGCGAGAGGTCCCCCCGTAAGGTCTGAGCTGAGGGCAACACGGAGAAGCCCTTGGAGACGGCCGTCGGGGCGGGGAGGGAGTCCAGCCTGACTGTGCCCTGACTTAGTCGGGGCATCTTGGTGCCCCCAAGTCTCTGCAGCTGTGTTTCGGTGTGACACCCCAGCACGGTCCCTCAGACTAGCATTCCTGACTCACCTCCGAACAGCCAGCTGGCCTCTTAGTTGCTTAAATGCTAGTGGACTGTTGGACGGCAGCGCGGGCTTGACGCCGGCCCCTCGCTTCCTCCACTCGGGCTCTGGTCGCCTCCGAGCACATCGGGCTGTTCTGTAAAACCTACGGCGTCTGCTGTTTACACGTGAGAAGCGGAGCCCGCGCCAGGGGGTTTGTCCAGAGTGACGTTCAGAAAGGGCCCGGGAGAGGGGAGGCCGAGGCTCTGGCTGCCCCAGGGGAGTCGGCACTGTCCTCCAGCAGCTCCACTGCATGAGCTGGGTTGTTTCGCAAGCATCGCTCCCCATTAAAAAATATACTTGCTAAGAGTTGCATTGATTGTTGCCATTTGCAAAGGCTTTGCCAAAGTGCACAACCTCTGTTAAATCCACAACCCGAGGAAGTAGGTCATCCTAACACCCTCCCCCTTTTTTTTCGAGGACACTGAGGCTCAGAGGTTAAGGTACTTTCCCAAGAAAGGGGCAGTGATGGGCAGGAATAAGGAGAGAACTGTCTTCTACCCTCAGAGTTCTTTGGGCTGATCTCACCATCCAGTAGGCATGAGATGCCTTAGCAAGGGCCGATGACCAGATGTAACCACGTGTGTCTATGGGAATCCCACGTACACGGGAGAGTCAGAGACAGAGAGGGAAATCGAGGTGTGTTTGACATTCTGAGCTGAGGAGGAGGTCACGCACCTTGGGCCTTCAGAGGGTCGCTGCAGGGAGGACACCTGCCGCACAGCTAGGCGAAACGTCGTTTCTGGTCACGACGCTTACCTTGGGCCAGGCTAATGATTCAAATTCTTCTAGAAAGTTAAGTAGGGGCGCAGAAGTATCTTTCAAACGCCCAGGGTCTCCGTTGCCTTTTGCTCAAAATAACTCGCACCCCACTCTGGCACATCTTGGGGTGGCTTGTTCGGAACCCCCCGAGTTCACCTCTAGACCCAGGAGGTCTGTGTTCCTGTCCCCTGGCTGCTCTTCGGACACCAGCCTGCGTCGGGGTGGGGTTCCCTTTCTCGGATGCTTCCTTAGGCTCCAAAGTCGTCTGTGCCTCAGGCATTGTTGTCTCAACGTGGTACCTGACTAACCTGCAGAAGGGAGGGACTGGCCAGCCAGGCCACAGTGTCCACGAAGGACTGTCTCTCTCTCAACGCAGGAGGAGATGCAGAATAACGTCGAAGTGGTCCACACCTACCACCAGCACATCATCAATGACATGAACCCCGGCAACCTGCACCTGTTCATCAACGCCTACAACAGGTAGCGACGCCCGCGTATCCGGCTCCTTCTGTAGGTCTGCAGCACGGACGAGGCAGAGGGGCTGGTAGCATTAGTAGGAGCAGCAGCCCCTGAACTTGAGAAGAGTATTAGGATGGGGTGCCCTTAGTAAGGTGTCTCCTGGGGTTTTGAGCACTTTGCAAAGAGCTGAGCGGCCACTCCAGACCCTGGGGGATGCAAACAGGAGGGAGACTCAGTCATGCCCTCAGAGGGTGGGAGTATGTGCCCACGGTGACCACAGGGAAACACAGATGTGAGGAGAGCTGAGGGTGAAGCAGAGCACTGGGGGGTGGGAGGAACCCAGGAAGGCTGCTGGGAGGAGGGTGAGTCACTCCCAGCATATGTAACACCTGCACACAGCCTTTGACAAGGGTGCAGCCCCCTTACCCATAACTGGGTGCCTGTCGGGAGCTCCATAGTGGAGGGAACAGCTCGGGGCCACTGATGCAGCCAGAAGTTCTGGAATCTCCAGGGGACTCACCCAGCCTGCCGAGCCCGCTCTGTCCTGCTCCTACAGAGGGGCCAGAAATGAGAACCTGGGCTCTGTCTCTCTGTCCCCGTGCCACGAAAATGACTCACGATGTGCACTCATGTCTGTGGGAGTCCAATGTCCTCTTGCTCTTACCAGCCGCTCACGCAGACAGGGGTGCTGCCCCGGGTGTCGAGAGAGACGCGGAGGCCGCGTCCTGTGAGCTGCAGTGGGTCGGGCTGTCGTCTGGGGGGGGGGGGCACCCGCAGGGGACCCTGCGAGTTGGGATTTGGAGTTGGGGTGAGAGTAAGCTCAGACCAAGGGTGGAAGCGGAGCCTATTTGCAGGGCAATCCCTGGTCAGGTAGGGATTCCGGGGAGGTAGGGACCCTCCGTGGTGGAGGGCGTGACTTGTATTCCTATAAAAAGACAAGAAAAACACCCTGGAGACCGAGGGGTGGGCTCCGTGGGAAATGTCCCGGAAACCACTTTCATGGACCCAGGAGCTAGGTGTCCCGAAAGCCACGTGACCTCACACAGGCTGACACCTGGGTGGTCTGCCAGAACCGAACAGCCCATGGCAGGACCTCCTGGGTTGGGCTCAGTGGGAGGGGCCCCCTCGGGGGCGGGCCTGCGGATGTAATGAATGTTGCTGTGTCCTCTGTAGCCGGCGGGACCTGGAGATCGAGCGACCCATGCCGGGAGTGCACACCGTCACCCTGCAGTGAGTTGCTTTTCTCCCTATTACTGCCTCGTTTGCTTGGCTCCCAGTTGCTGGGAGGCTCTTCTTTCTGCGTTTGGCAGGGCTGCCAGCCTTGTGCCAGGACATCGTCATCAGTGAGAACTGGATGTGTTCCATCCGGGCACCAGGCACAACCCAGGCTCGCCCATCTTCTCCCCGTGCCGGTGCTCAGGGTGGTCCCGAGACCTAGGTTGGAGCCTTGGATCTCAGACAAGGAGTGTGATCTCACTGTAGACAGAATTTATTAAGCACCTACTTTACGCTGAATGCTGTGTTCGCTGGGCCTCACAGAGCCCACGCTAAAGTGCCCTGCTGAACCAGGAGAAGTCAGCCTTGGGAACGACAGCCGTATTCCACCGGCAGCCACTGTGTCCTCTTCAGTTCCTTGAGTGAACTGGACACCTGAACTTGGCACAGGGCATTTCCTCCATCAGCGGTGTCTTTGCTGCCTCTGATCTCGATGGCTGACCAAGTCCCACTCGTCCTTCCTTGAGGAGAGGGTGTTTAAAATAAAAACATCAGGGCATAGAAATTCTCTGGTGAAATTCATACTAAGGTGTAAATGACTCACCAACCTTTTTTGTTCTAAGAACAAAGCGGAGGGTGGAGGGAGGATGAAGGAAAAGGAGCAAAGGGTACTGGAGAAACAAAAATATTTTTTATGGAACCTTGGCAGCCCTGGGAGTGTGAGAGTCTTTCAATGAACCTGTGTTAATTGCCCCTTTCTCCCTGGCCCCAGGTGTCCTGCTTTGTTGGTGGTTGGGGACAGTTCTCCTGCTGTGGATGCTGTGGTAAGTAGAAATCAGCCACTGGTTTCTGTGCAGTCCAAATCTGATTGCCTTCCTCCTCCCTCTCCTCTGCCCTCATCAGAACAGGTGACACTTTCTCAGTGCCATGTCGGCCTTTGGGCAGAGGGCCCAGTCACCAGCCTCTTTCCCTGGTGACTGTCATCGGTGACTGCTTGGCAGTGGGCCCTCTGTCTCCTCTCCCAGGCCCCCTCACCTGCCCGTCTGCCTCCCGTTGGCTTGTTTCTATGAGCATGTTTTCCACTTGGCTTCCTGGCCAAGAGACTCCCTCCCATTCAGGAGGCCTGGTTGGTGCCCGGTCATCTGGCAGGACAGGAGGTGCCTGGGGAGCTGGGCTTAAGCAAGGTTTTCTGGTTCATTTCACCCTTTAATCCCACCTGTGATGTTGTGGAGACAAAACAAGGGCTCCACCTTTCCAACAGCCCCGTAGCTGGGGACATGCGGGACTTGGGGGTGACCTTCCTCGTGCAGTGGGCTGCAGGGCAGGATCACAGTCATTGGTTTCATGAAGCGTGACTCTGCGGCCATCTAATCCATGGACGTGATCGTGGGATGCATCCACAGAGATAGACTGTTCCCACCAAGGCAGACGACAGTCTCCTGTACGCACTCTGAACGTCACGGGTTATAAGTTGGTATTCTGCCCAGTTCTGGATGGACTTTTAAGAGGGGCATTGAAATTGAAGAGAGATACCGGCTTGGTGGACGTGACCTCATAGGAAGAACGGTGGTTGGGACTGGGGTTGTCGGACCTGCAGACTCACTGGCGTCCAGTGGTTGAACAAGGCCACTCATTCAGTGACTATTTCTAGAGAACTGTCTACCTGTTAGGTGGTCTTCATAACAACCCCTTCAAGTATATGAGCCTCAGTTTATGGACGAGGAGACCGAGGCTCAGAGGAGCTAAGTAACGGGTCCATTGCCAAGCAACGGCAGGGCTGGGATGGAGGGCCACCTCGGTCTCAGCCACGGCCCACAGTCTTCTGTGCCACTGGGGACAGTGGGGCCTCTGATGATGGCGGCCGGGAGGGGGAAGGGTCAGGACATTGGTTCCAGGTAGAAAACGAACACATTTCTCCTCCCTTTCCTTGTCCAGGTGGAGTGCAATTCGAAGTTGGACCCAACGAAGACCACTCTCCTCAAGGTACAGGAAAAAACACGCGTTTGCGTGTTAGAAACTCCCAACTTCGCTGCAAAAACTGAGTTGTGCCGGTTTAGGCAAAGCTGGTGGTCAGAACTGATGGAAAGAATGACTTAATGTCTGTGTTCACAAGCACCTACTGGGTGCTGGCTGAGCAGATCAGATGAGAGGACCCCTCTGGGGGACCCCAGGGGTCTACGGGCTGCAGCCTGTCGCCCTTGGGATTTGACCTTGAGGCTGGCTGTGGGGTGGCCCGGCGTCACCGCTCTCGCCGACTCCTTCCAGTTGGTTCCCCCGAGGGCCCCCTCCCCCTCTGCCAGGTGCTCCCGAGCCAGCGCCGTCATCTCCACTCCTGGGCAGACACGCGCGCGTGCCCGGAGTGGCGCTGGTGGCTTCGGGTTTGGTGATTTAGTAGCGACTTGGGGAATCAGCGCACTTCCCACGGGTGGTCTAGCAGGAGCCCCGTGAGGCCGGAGGTCTAGTCTGGCAGTTCCTCCCTGGGGGGGGGGGGGTCTGTGCAGGGAGCGCCAGGACCTCGTGCACCTCCTCCAGCTGTCTGCTCCCTCCAGACGGACAGTCTACCTTCCAGGGTTCTCGGGAACAGAGTAAAATTATCCACAAGGCTCAGCCGAGTGCCCAGTGTACCTGAAGCTGCGAGTCACGGGGCCAGGAAGACGCAGTGCAGTGCAGAGGCAGATGTCATAGAAGCAGCCCCGTTGGTTTCCTCACCTCAGCGTGCCCAGCCCCTCGGGCCGCAGGCAGGGTGGGTGCCCGCCGGGGCTGCTTCACCGAGCGAGGGCCACCTGCACCGAGGTCGTTGCACTGACCAGCTTCCCTGTCTTCCAGATGGCAGATTGTGGTGGCCTCCCTCAGATCTCCCAGGTGAGTCCCGCCTGCCACCTCCCCGGGTGGGGGCTGTGTCTCTGAGACCTGTGACCGCCTTTCCTCTAGCTGCCTGCTCGTCCCCACCTCCCCATGACCTCCGATGACATGTGTCACCATTTATAAGCAGTGCTTGTACCTGAGGACTCATTTGATGTCCCAGAAACCCCTGTGGAGCGCCTAACACGGGGGTCACAGGGGTGAAGGCATATGTCCCGTGGACACAGTGAGGCAACCATGGACCAGAATCTAGATCTGCCCGACCCCAGAGACCACGGGCTGTCTCTGGGCAGAAGGGTCAGTTCTCTGATTCATGTGGCCCCGCCAGTTTCAAGGGTTGTCGGATAGAAAAGGGAGAGTCTCGGCTCTGAGTCCCCGTGAGTAGGTGATGGCTCTGGTCCATCCGGGCGCAGAGGAAACCTCAGCAGGTGGAGCTGTTCTGACATCAAACAGTCTTCATGCGGGATAGGAAATGCGTCACTGGGCGTCGAAGGAGGCCAGTGGCCCTCGGGCCGTCCGAGCAGATGTCCGCATCAGGCGGATACTGACCTCTAGAAGCCCTTCCCCCAGAGCCCCGCCCCAAGTGCAAGCAGAGGGCTGGGGTGGCCCTCTCGGGCTCTCTGCACCTGTTCCCGTGTCTCCCTCCGCTCCCGCTAGACAGGAACAAAGATATTTCAACATTTTTGCTCTTGTTATGTTTTGCCCACTTGCCAGGGAAGGGATGGGCTCCCAGAAGAGCCCTGCTTAGATGTGGTCGTGAGGAAGGCCTGCCCGTAGTGATGGAGCCATTCACCCATCCAGCCTGACCGGAGCCGCCGTGGGCAGTGTGACTCCGGGGCTTCCTTGGGTTGGACAAGGGGCACCATTTTTCCTTCTCCCTCTTCTCCCTGCCTTCCCTCTCTCTTTCTCTATTTGGAATGGGAACAGATCAGACCCTGGCCACAATTAAAACCGGGTTCCAATGTCCTGGCAGGAGCTGAACTAGCCCAGGGTTCCAGGGATGAGCCAGGGAGGACCTCTTCCTCCTGCCCCGACCAGTTGTGTGTGTTTACGCAGGGTGTTCCCATCTTTCCTTCCATTTGATCCTTGCACAGCCCTCAGAGGTGGGAGGAGCCCGTGTTTTTTCTCTGTGTCATGGAAGAGGAAAGTGAGAATAGACGGTGGGAGACAGTGCCCACGGTCTCCCGGGGAGCCAGAGCTGGGCGCAGGGACCCTTATTCTCAAACCCACACTCCTGCTTCCCTTGGCCCTGTTGAGACCTCCCAGGCCCTCTGCGGCCCCAACCTGTGGCTCCTGACGCGTTCTTGCCATTGTCACATGGGCTCCAGAGGGCAGTTTGATCAGTCTCTCCTTTAAACGCCTTTGGCTCTTTGTAGAATAGTGGCAGAGCTGGTGGAGCTGGGCAGGGACACCACCTCTGCTGATGACTTCTCACCAGAGACGTGAGACCCTCAGAGCAGAATAGATCCAGGGCCGTGCATTTGAGAGTCGGGGTTAATTAGACTGTAAATGTGGCCTTTACTTGTTCATTCACCTCCCAGTTTTTCTATTTTTACACATTATCAGAAAAAGTTTACTTAGAAAGTTACAGAGGTAGAAGAAGTGAGCCAGCTGGGCTGCATGGGCTCAGGAAACAAGTTACAGAGGCAGAAGCTAAGTTACAGAGGTAGAAGAAGTGAGCCAGTTGGGCTGCATGGGCTCAGGAAACAAGTTACAGAGGCAGAAGCTTGGAGCTCAGGAAAGGGCAAGGCAAAGGTCATGTGCCCGGGGGAAGAAGGGAAGGAGGGAAAGGCATGGTGTGAAGCGTAGGGACATCTCCCAGTTTTGATTAAATGAAATGTTTGCGAGGAATTGGTAGAACTGGATGTTTTCTCAGCATTCCCAACTCATTTCACTCAAAGTTACCTGGTTGATTAATTGGTTTGTCTGTCCCACGATCCATCCTTTCAGCTATACTTTTCTTTCCATTGTTTTCTATCCATCCATCTTTCCTTTTTTCTGTCCATCCATATTTTTCTTTTCATTCATCTTCCTTCCTTCCATCAATAGTTTTTCTTGCATCTATTATCATCTGTCTGTCTATCCATCCATTCATCCATCTTTCATCCTTCCGCTCAGCCAGCCACTGTGCCCTGGAGGTGGAGCATAGAGTCCTTGAGGGTGGGGGGTTGGGAAAGCCCTGGGTCCATCTGCAGAACCCGCCACTAATCAACCGCAGGACCTTGGCTGGATGATTTAACCTCTCCATGCATGGTCTGCTAAGAAATGCCTATGAAAGCAATAACCTCACAAGGTTGTCAGGAGCAAATGAGATGATGCTGGAAAGGCCTTGGCCCCAGGAGAGGCATGGGGTAGTGATGCCGTTACTTACGTCCTAGATGCTGAGTAGGATGCACTGGGCCATCTCGTGCCATCTTCTTTACAGAAACACTCAGAAGTAGGTGTGGCTCACTGTCCTCAACTTAAAGGTGCAGAAACTGGCTCACACGGGTCACGTGACTCAACCAAGCTCCTGCCGCAACGAAGTGAATTTGACTTTTCCCCTAGCCAAAGCTAATTTCGCTCCCTATAACGACCCCATAGTCTTCCTTTGCCTTGTGTGTATTGTCCTGTGAACACACGGCGGCCTCCTCTCTTGGGCCCAGTCTTCAGTGAAGGTGACCACGGGCACAGCTCACGTGGCCATTCGTGATGTGGAGCCCCAGCGACTGACCGCGCTGCCTTCCCTTCCCTTCTCTTGCAGCCCGCCAAGCTCGCCGAGGCCTTCAAGTACTTCGTGCAGGGCATGGGTTACAGTAAGTGGGGCATTTCCCAGCAGGAGGGGCCACGGGGCAGGGTGGGAGTTGGACTTCGATGTCCCGTACAGGTGTGGATGCTGCAGCGTCTTGGCCAGCCGCAGCTCCCTGCATACTGGGCAGGTCCAGGGAAGAAACAGCCGGGTGCAGGGAAGGTGGGAAGCCATACACAGTGTCTCCTTGACACCACAGTGGCTCCTTCTCCCTCCACTGTTGACCAGAAGTGGTTTCCTACCAGGGAGTGTGTTTAGATTTAGGTGAAGACTATCCTTTTAAACCCCCAGAAGACAACAATGAAACCATGGAACTCTTTTTGTTTGATTATAGCTTTCTTAGAGACTTTGTGTTGCAGTGATGATGGTGATGATGATGGTCGTGATGAAGGACTATTTATAAATCCCTCCCCCCCCCTTTTAGCCATTCCCAATAATTCTGTGAAATACTCTTATCCTCATTTTACACGTGATGAAACAGGCTTCGAGAGCTTAAGCAAGGAGCAGAGTGGGGGGGGGGGGTGAAAGTTCTTTGAAATCCAGGAAGCTGTGGGTAAGTGGGTGATACAGTTGCTGGTGCGTAGGGCCCAGAGTACCTTTGCTAAAACATTTGATTGGGGAGCTGAGGGACAAATGGCAGCGTAATTTAAGAACGTGCTGCTGCCTGTGTCATGGTTAGGGCTCATTCATGAGACACACGCCGTCCTCAAAGTGCAGCCCCTGACCGGGACAGAGCACACCCGCAGGGGGCTCTCCACCGCAGGGGCTGCCCCGGCTCGGTGGTGTGCGAGCCACGCCTCTGACCCTGTGTTTCCTCTGGTCCCTCTGCCCGCCGCTTGGGATGAAAACCGTGCTCCCATCTTAACTAGCAAGTCTTTGTAGGTTAACGCCTTTCACTTTTCCCCTGGGACTTAAACTGTTTGATCGTTTAAAATAGCAACAGTGTGTCTGACCGCCGTCCTCAGACTGGCCTCAGCCATGTTGTCTCTAGTACGGCCGAGAGCGGTCGAGCCTGATTTATAGCCTCAGGCGGGACCCACGTCCCCAGGTGCCCTCTTCCACCCGAATCCATCGGCCCGTGGGCTCGAGCTGCGGTCTCGCGGGAAGTGCAGGCGAAAGCAGTTGAGCTAGCGCCAGGCAGCCTGGTGACCTCGCAGGGGGTGACTCGCCACTCCTTTGTCCTGGCCTCCACTGGGTGCCGATTTCTGCTTTGAAAGTATATTCCGGGGAGAGAGGAAGCACACGGCAGGCCATGTTTATGCCCCACGTCAGCCGGAGCCTCCTGCAGGCTGCAGGGGCCACCACAGGAAGGGCTAGAGCCCAAAGCGACAGGAAGTGGTCACTGACCCAGCGCCTGCCAGGATGGTGGGCCAGGCGTGACCAGCCCTTTGCATCCATGGCACCGCCCTGTAGTTGAGAAGGGGATTCAGCACAGCGGGGTTGACTCTGCGCGTGGGTGTCCACCCCCAGAGAGCCAGCCGTGTGCCCGTCGAGTGAAGAAGGGTCAGTGACAGGCATGAGTATGCTTTGGTCCACGGTTCAGTGTGGCCTTTGCTGTGATGCTGCCATCAGCGGCGTGGCTGCCACGCAGGATCCACAGACTGGGTGGCAGAAAGCGACAGAAACGCAGCTCTCACCGTGCTCCGGTGCTAGAGGCTGGACGTGCAAAGTCAGGGTGTGGGCAGGGCCCTGCTCCCTTCAGAGGTTCTCGAAGATTCCTTCCTTGCCTCTTCCAAACGTCTGGTGTCCTGAGTGGCTGTGGCTGCATTGCGGCCTCTGATCTCTACGGGCCTTCTCTGTGTCCGGGACCATCTCCTCTTCTTGGAGGGACAGAGGCCATTGCATTAGCACCCACCCTACTCTGCTGTGGCCTCACCTGAAGTTAGTACCTCTGCAGAGACCCTCCTTCCAGCTAAGGCTACACTGAGGTTCCAGTGGGCGAGAAATTGGGTGATACTACTCAACCCGGTTCAGATGGGAGCTGTTTTGTCTTTGTTACATTTTACCAGCTTCCTGCCACATACAAAGGTGTTTTAAGTCCCCAAAGAATAGACAGCGCCCTTGATAGTTCCTGGGAGCTCACAGGCTTCTGGGGAAAGTTGACACTAACCACGTTGCCACAGACTCACTGTGTGGCCTCGGTTTCCCACCTGTGGTCGGCAGGGGCTGGTCCATGCGACTTGAACGTACTCCTCATCGGAGTGCTTGTTGACTGTGCCAGATGGTGGCACACACCTGGGCACTAACTTTGTGGGCTCAGTGTGAGTGTCCCCATTTTGCAGATGGGGCCAGAGGGCTCAGAGAGGGACAGTCGCAAAGTCACACAGCTGTTAAGGAAGTGGCAGAATTGGGATTCAGACGCAGCTCTGGGTTCGAGCCACTGTGTGCTCACAGCATGTCCTTACCCCATCGAAGCCTCGCTGTCCACCTCTGTGGGCCGATGGAGGGACGACAGGGGCCCAGGGTCTGGATCACTGTGAGAACGGATGGGACATAGAGATGTCCAGCCAGGTCGGGCACAGAAGAGGCCCGGTTGCTGGAGTGTGGCTGCCTTCTCTCCCGTAACCGTCTCTCTCCCCTCTCCCCAGTGCCCTCGGCCAGCATGACCCGCCTGATGCGGTCCCGCACGGCCTCAGGCTCCAGCGTCACGTCCCTGGAGGGCACCCGCAGCCGCTCCCACACCAGCGAGGGCACCCGCAGCCGCTCCCACACCAGCGAGGGCGCCCGCCTGGACATCACCCCCAATTCTGGTGCCGCTGGGAACAACGCCGGGCCCAAGTCCATGGAGGTGTCCTGCTAGGCGGCCTGCATGGACGGCCGCCCCTGGACTGTGGGATCACTGTAGCTGCCCCTCCTCCAGCCCCTCCCGTGCCCCTGCCTGCCACACTGCACGTAACTTGGTATTAATCCAAAGCTTATTTTGTAAGAGTGAGCTCTGGCGATGACAATGTTAGATGGGATTTGTCGAGGGCATCCTTGGGGGGCTGGGTGGGGAGGACCAAAGGAAAAGGAGCATCTCAGTGTCCCTTTTGCATTGACGAGTGGCCTGGTGGCTACCTTCTCACTCTCCCTCATGATGCCAGGCTGCCCATAAACAAGAAACACAGCAGTAAACCGTCATGGATCCAAGCCTAGGCTGACCTGGGCATCCTGGTTGTAAGGGGCATTTCATCCAAAGCCCAGCTCGTCTGCTTCTGTTCCCTCCCCAGCCAGACACACCGACCCAGTTTCTGGAAACACAGCCCTTCTCTGGTTTGGGGAGGAGAGCAGGGACCATGGGCTGCTCCTTTAGGCAAAATAGGAAGCGGGGAAAAGAGGTGGAATTTGTGCAGAGGCTTGAAGACTGTAGAAAAGCAAATCTATGTAGTTAACCTGTAATAGATTTTTAAAGTTGTGCATATACACACTTTTTAATGCCGAAGCATACAAGCCTGCCTTTCTGACCGTTTTTTAATGAGCATGAAAGCAGGCAACAGCATCTCCTGGCTTTGCAAAAAAAAAAAAAAAACCACAAAACCCAGAAAACAAACACAAAAATGGTCCGCAAGCATTTGGTATCATGGATTTAAGGCTTTACTCAGCTCTCTGCCTCTTCCTCCTCAGCCTCCGCTTCCCACCCCAAATACCTGAATGAATGGTTATTTCATTCATGAGGAAGACCCTTTAATACTTTCCTGGAGGTGGAGGGGACATTCCGAGCAGTTGTGGCTGCCACGAATCTCTTTGCAGCGCGGCAGGGGCGCTGGCGTGGGGGTGGGCTTTGGGTAATAGATGTAAATAAGAGATTCCTTGTGGTTGTGATGGAATCCAGAGTAGTTGTGATTTCAGTTGATCCCATTCTGGTTTCTGGGAATCTTCTGTGATTGAGTTAAATCTTTGACAACTAGGGTTGAATCTGAACTTGATGGCCTGACATTTCTGACCTGCTAACCTTCCTGGATCTACCGATGGACCAGTTTGCTTTAGTCCAGTGGGGGTTCAGGGGGCAGCAGTGGTGGCTGAGATGTGAGAGTTCTGGAATGTGCATTCCCTGGGATTTCATTCCCTCTCCTGCCTCCTACTCTCCCCCGCCTCTCTAACCTCCTTTCTCTGAATGGGGCGGCACCACTGACATTTTGGGGCCACGTCAGCCTAGCTGTCAAGTTCCTGTACTACTGCCTTCTGATTTTCTTTTCAGCTAACCATGGATCTGACAGGAAGTTCAATCAGAGTGTATAGGAATTGTGAACCAGCCGCTGGGGCCTCGTGGTTTCCGGGACCCTAGAGTTGGTAGGAGGAAGTACTCAAGCCTTGCAAGTAGCTTGAGGGGTAGTGAGGGATTTAGTTCACCTGCTACCTACCATGTGGGAGGCTTTCCCTGACCTTGAGCAGAATGGTCGGGGTCAGAGGTCAGGGTGGGAGTGGCTGAATCAGAGAGAAGACTGTTGTATACAAGTCTCTCCAGAGGAGTTTCTTAATGAGATATTTGTATTTATTTCCAGACCAATAAATTTGTAACTTTGCAGTGGCCTGTGTCATTTTCCTCTACCTGACAGAGCACGTGCATGGCATCCTGGTACAGGGGCAGCCTTGCCCTACCTGGGGCCTCCTGCCATACGCCCCTCACCTTGGTTTAGAGCCTCACTGTCCAGTAAATATATAGTCTGAGCTTCAGATTTTCTGGTGGCCCCATTAAGACAGACAGAAAGAGCCCAGCCAGTGGGGCTCAGTAGTTGAGAGTCGACCCCTGCACCAAGAGGTCGCCGGTTTGATTCCTTGTCAGGGCACATGCCCAGGTTGTGGGCCTGATCCCCAGTGGGGGGCGTGCAAGAGGCGGCCAATCGATGTTCTCTCTCATTGATGTTTCTATCTCTCCCTCATCCCTCCTCTAGCTCTAAAAAATCAATAAAGAAAAAAATATTTTAAAAAAAAGATAGAAAAAGGTGAATTTAATCTGAATAATGCTTTCATTTAACTCAACATATCCCAAATACGACTGTTTCAGCATAGAATCAATCAACAGCTATTCATCTGTTTCACGTTCTTTTCTTCCCACTGGGAAACCAGTGTGCACTTCACGTCATCCGCGGCTCCCTGCGGCCACACCAGCCCCAGGTGACAACGGGGGAAGCTTTTCAGCTTGTAATGAGGGAAGCATCTCTGCCTCTGCTTTATTTTTATCATAGATATGTATGTGGAAGACCACACCTTCCTGCACATCAGTAACAACCACTGCTGTTCTACTGAAAAAAGCAAAGTAAATACAGCAGGTTATAGTATAACCGCCCATGTTTTTAAACTTCCGATCAGTTTAAAATGTACAAAACAGTTATAAAGATAGTCAAGTGACACCAAGTTTCTCTTATCCATTATTATTATTATTTAAAATTGTTGATTTATATGTTCATTGATGTGAGAGAGAGAGAAACATCAATTTGTTGTTCCACTTATTTATGCATTCATTGGTTGCTTCTTGTAAGTGCCCTCACTAGGGATTGAACCTGCAACCTTGGATGATTGGGATGATGCTCTAGCCAAATGAGATACCCGGCTGGAATGCCCTTATTAATAATGTCTTATGTTATTATGTTGCACTGGTCACAACTAAGAAATCAACAAGGATACATTACTAATAATGGAGCTTCATGCTTTGTTGGGATTTTGCTAGTTTTCCCTAGGTCCCTTTTCTGTTTCAAGATGCCTTCCAGGACACCCCATTTAGTCACGTCTCAGCTTCCTCTGGCCTATAACAGTTTCTCGCACTTGCTTTTGATGACCGTGGCAGTTTTGAGAAGCTCTAGCCAGGCAGTGTGTAGAATGTCCCTTCATGGAGGTTCGCAGGATGGTCAAGTAGGGTTTTGAGTCTGTGGAAGGAAGACCATGGAGGCGAAGTGCCCTTCTCGCGGTTACTTAACAAGGTTTATCACTGGTGAGCGTCACCTTGGCCATCTGGCTCAGGTAGCATTTGCCTGGGTTCTCCACTGTCCTCGCCTTTTCCACTCTCCTTTCCAAGCAAGGCACCAAACGCAGCCCACACTTAAGACACCCTCCCCCCTGAAACAGCTCGAGGGGCACCAGAGACATATGGGGAAGAACTGAGCTGTTTGGCATTGGAGCGAGGGCTGGAGAGGCGGCTTTCTCCTGGACAGACGTGCTGTCAGAGGCCTTTGTTCCTTTGGTGAGCCCTTCTCTGGGGCAGCAGACAGCTGCCATATCTGGGGCTCCAGCAACCTGGCTCACACTGTTGGCCCTGCCCTGGTGACTCCCTGAGGCCCCGCCCCGCCCAACTTTCAGGCCCACCCAAGCTGTTACCAGTGGCTTTACCATAGGATTGGCCTGTCTTAGATCCTGCTTCAGGTTTTCCTAAATTCTTTCAAACAAGCAGCGTCTGGTCTCAGCTAGCCCCATACCTCTCTTTAAGTAATACACAGAAACAAACACAGGAGGCAGCCAAAATGAGGAGACAAAGAAACAGGTCCCAAATGAAAGAACAGAACAAAACTTCAGGAAAAGAACTAAGCGAAATGGAGATAAGCAACCTAACAGATCCAGAGTTCAAAACACTGCTTATAAGGATGCTCAATGAACTTGGTGAGAACCTCAATGAACTTAGTGAGGGACTCAAGAGCATAAAAAAGGACCAGTCAGAAATGATGGATGCACAGTTAGAAATGAAGGAGTCACTAACTGAAATAGGGAATAATTTACACAGCTTCAATAGTAGAGTAGGTAAAGCCAAGAAACAAACCATCAATTTGGAATATAAGGAAGCAAAAAATACCCAATCAGAACAGCAAAAAGAAAAAAGAATCCAAAGAAATGAGGATAGTGTAAGAAGCCTCTGGGACAACTTCAAGCGTGCCAACATTCGCATCTTGGGGGTGCCAGAAGGAGAAGAGCGAGAACAAGAAATCAAAAACCTATTTGAAACAATAATAGCATAAAACTTATCTAACTTGGTGAAGAAAACAGACATACAAGTTCAGGAAGCACAGAGAGTTCCAAACAAGATGAACCCCAAGAGGCCCACACCAGGACACATCATCATCAAAATGCAAAAGTTTCAAGACAAAGAGAGAATTTTAAAAGCAGCAAAGGGAAAGCAGTTAGTTACCTACAAGGGAGTTCCCATAAGACTGTCAGCTGATTTCTCCAAAGAAACTTTGCAGGCCAGAAGGGAGTGGCAAGAAATATTTAGAGTGATTAAAAGCAAGAACCTACAACCAAGATTACTCTATCCTGCAAAACTGTGATTAGACTCCATCGCCATATAGAGTTTCTGAGACAAGAAAAACCTAAAGGAGTTCATCACCACCAAATCGTTATTGTACGAAATGATGAAGGGTCTTCTTGAAGAAAAAGATAAAAAATATGAACAAACGAAATGGCAATAACTACATATCTATTGACAATGGAATCTACAAACAAAATGACCAGGCAGAATAGAAACATTCTCATACAAACAGAGAACATTTTGTTGGTTGCCAGATGGGAGGGGGGTTGGGGGAATGGGTGAAAAAGGTGAAGGGATTAAGAAGTACAAATTGGTTGTTAGACTGACAAACCTCAAAATGAAGGGGGTTGGGGGGTGGGAAGAGATAAACCAAAGAACTTATATGCATAACCAATGGACACAGACAACAGTGTGGGAAAAGGCAGGAGGGGGGCGGGAGTGGGGAGGAGGGGGTCAACAGGGGAAAAATGAGGAACAACTGTAATACATTCAACAATCAAGATAAATTTTTTTAAAAAGACCCCCTCCCCCCTTCTAAACAGCCATCATGTTGTTATTTACATCGGTTCTCTTCACTTTGAAGTGTGCCGTAGAGGGTGTGATTAGCTGTGAACAGGTTGCCGCATGGTGTAGAGAGTGGATGGGCTGCAGTCCGCGGCCCGGTGCATTAGGAAGGAGTGGACCCAGCAGAGGGGGAGCCCGCACTCCCAGCTGAGGGGCCAGCGTGCACACCAGACGGAGCGTGGACGGTGTGTGCACTTCCCAGACCCCTGTGGTGCAGACCCGGGCGGGAGACGGTGCGTTGTGCGAGGCGGGAAGAGATTTCGATGCCTGACATAAAATACCTAACTTTACAAAAGAAACTGCTTCTAGTGCAGTAAAATTTGTCCAAATGTGGCAATCATGGGGCATAGCAACCTGTGCTTCTTTCTCACCAAGTTAAACAGTAACAGGAGGCAGGGCTGTGCATACCTTCCAAGCAGCGGTGAGCACAGCACCTCGACTGTCTACCACAACTGTGCTAAGAAAAATAGATGTGATTTCAACGGGTGATGGTACAGTCTGTGCCTGTATTTAGACGGTGGAAAATGCTAAATTGCAACTAGAGGTCAGTGAAAACAAAGATGCATTTTCTGCATCCTGAGTTCTCTCCGTGGATTCTCGGCCCGAGGTTCCCAGGTTAGAGGCTGTGCTCCAGGTCAGGAGGAAGGGCACGTAGGCTAGTAGGGTTTCACCATTCACAGGAAGGGCCTCTTCTCTATCCGTTTCCTGTGGGAGAGTCAGAACAAAGGAAAGGCAGGTGATGGGGAAGCCGGCACGTACTCGGGCCGGGCAGTGGGCACACATGTCAGCATAGGGGTGGGGTGGCACAGAGACCGCAGGACCTGCCACCGTCAGCCCCCAGGAGCTCAGGCTCCTCCGAGGGAGTGCACGGCAGCTGTGTGTGCAGGTGCTCGCTATTTCCAGACAGCATGCCCGGAGGCTGTTTTGCCAGCTGGGGATCCACTTTTGTTCTAGCTGCTTGTTCTGGTTTCAGTGCCCAGACGTGTGGGTCTCAGCAGTGGGAGACCGAGTGTGCACCCAGCTCGAGCGCCGGCTGGACGTGCAGGGACAGCGGGGTCTCCACCTGCCCCTTCCTCGCTGCCCCTTCTCAGACACAGGAGTCACTCGGTTGGTGCCTAGATGCAGCCTAACTCCATCTGTCGTAGGCTTCCCAGGCTGAATGGAGACTGTGTCCCATGAACGCAAGGGCAGAGAGTGAAGCCCGGCCTTACGGATTGCAGATGGATGAAAGGGGACCTTGTGAGCCGATCAGCCTCCTTCTTTCTTGGTGCATAGGTCAATTCTCAACCACTGAGCCACACCGGCGGGCAAGCTTCCTCCCTGCATCTCCAAAGCACAAAGTGGCGGTTCTAACTGAGGCGTACAGGACCTTTGGTCCTTGGACCCAGAATTAATCAGGTCGTTGTGTCCCTTAAGGGAGAAGCATCTAATTGGCCCAGCTGGACTCAGGTGTTCACTCACTGTCCAATCAACTATGACTGAGCCCCTTCTACTCCCGCCCCTCCCCCACGTATAGGCAACGGGTTCCCAGTGACGGCTGTGATTGCAGCAGGTGAATCGCTATGGCCTTTGCAGAGTGAAGTCCAGTGACAGCAAACTCACTGCGCAGCAGGCCTGTCCTCATCCCTGCTCTGAGGACTGTCTCCCTAAGGCCACTTTCTCCCCGGAAGTAGTGACCCTGTGACAACGGCACCCCGCAGGCAGAGGTGGTCTTGGTGGCGCACGGA